ACACTCAGATTTCTGGTTGGGCAAGTCAGAGAAGTTGCTAGCTTCCAGCATCTCCAGGGAACATCAGTTAGCTGCAAAAGCGAAGACAACACCTCCCACTTCTTCCCTCCCTCACTCTGCCTTTCAACTGCTTGACCAAGCTTTGAGTGTGAGTCCTAGGTCTGCCTTTCATTTGCTGTGTCTTGGCTGGGCACTTCCTCCCTGAAGAAAGTAGGAATCATTCCCACCCCTCCACTCCTCCCCACTTCTTTTTTTGGTCTGAGGGGGACTTTATTTAAAGTGGCAACTTTGGGAAGAGAAACAAATAAAAGGGTCCAGCTAGGATTGACATGAAGAAGAATTGGGGTGAAGAGGGCAAGAGATCTGCATCACTAAGCAGTCCTGGTCAAACGACGATCTGGAGGAACGTGTTCATAGGTTGTTTTGTTTTATTTTGAGACAGGGTCTCACTCTCTACCCCTGGCTGGCCTGGTTCTTGCTCTGTAGGTTATTCAGGCTGGTCTCACACTTAAGGCAATCGTACCTCTGCCTCTCAAGAGCTAGGATTACAGGTGTGTACTACTGTGCCCGGCACTTGTGAGTGTGGGAGTATTCTTGCCTGAGTGCACACTGGACTCGAGGTTGACTTCATGTATCTCCCTCTATGCTTTTTTTTTCTCATGACTTGGGGGGGGGGAGGGGACAATGTAGACATGCCACAGTGTGCATGTGGAGGTCAGAGGACAGTTTGTAGGAGTTCTCTCCTTCCTCAATGTGGGTCTCCCGGGGACTGAATTCAGATAGTCTGATTTGGCAACACTCTTACCTGCTAAGCTGTCTTGTCAGCCTAGGCTCATTTAAAAAAAAAAAAAAGAGAGAGATTTATTTTTATTTTAAACTGTGCATATGCATGCATGTCTATGTGTGGGTATGTGTATCAGTGTAGTTCCCCACTGAGGCCAAAAGAGAACATTAGATTCCCTAGAGCTGGGAGCTGGAGTTACAGGCATTTGTGAGCTTCCTGACACATGTGCTGGGAACCAAACTCGGGTCCTCTGCAAGAGCAGTAAGTACATGCTCTTAACTACAGATCCATTTCCCCACTGGGCTCTTTCTTCTTCTTCTTCTTCTTCTTCTTCTTCTTCTTCTTCTTCTTCTTCTTCTTCTTCTTCTTCTTCTTCTTCTTTTTTTAATACAAAGATCTATTAGGAGGCTGGGGATGTAGCTCACTTGGAAAAATACATGCCTAGCATATAAAGCCCTGGATTTGATCCCCAGGACTGCATAACTGGATGCAATGACACATACCTCTAATCCCAGCACTGAGGAGGTAGAGGCAGGAGGATCAGAAGATCAAGGTCATCTTTGACTACATAGTGCATTAAAGGCCAGGCTGGCTTACAATAGACCTTGTCTCAAAAAAATTGAAAAGGAAAGAAGTTGTGATCATGGGTGATGATCTGAAGACACAGAAGAGGCCTGAGTGATACATAGCTGGAGGTGGCTGCTTCCTGGGAGCCTTACTAGTGGAATCCATTTGCCTTTTAGGAAAATCTCTCTGGTGGAGGATGCATATCAAGTAGATTAAGATAGGAAGGGTGGAACTTCCAGTTCTTTGGACCATGACTTCTCTTGTTTGAGGAAGGAGCCTGCATGAGGGTTGAACAGACTCCATGTCATTCCTAACCCTCCACTTTGCACAGCCAGTCCCTGAGCAGGTGCTGCTGGCTCTACCTCTGAAGCATTATAAATGAGAAAGGTCCCCCTCAGGCTGTGGCATTTGGATATGTGGCTCCCAGTTGATGGTGTTGTCTGAGGAGGTTTAGGAGATGTGATCTTAGGAGGAAGCAGATCACTGTGGATCTGCTTTGAGGTTTCAAAATGTCACACTACACCCAGTGTCTTATCTTGTCTTTCTTTTCGTTTCCTTTTTTGACACAGGGTCTCTCTATAGAGCCTTGGCTGTCCTGGAACTCACTATGTAGACCAGGCTGGTGTTGAACTCACAGATCCACTTGTCTCTTCTGTTCCTCCTGAGTGCTGGGGTCAAAGGCCTATGCCACCACGCCCAGCTCGCTAGTGTGCTCTTTTTGCTTCATGTTGCCTGTTAGGAGATGTGAGCTCAGCATCCTGCTCCAGCCACGTGCTTCTGCTCTGCCATTGTGGATTCTCATCCCTCTGGAACCATCAGCCACAGTCAACTCTCCCTTGAGTTGCCTTGGCCACGGTGCTTTATCACAGCATCAGGAAGGTATAAAACAGCCTCCAACTGTGGCCATAAGTCCTTTCCTCTGTATTTCCTGGACCACAGCTCTAGTCCAAACCACTGCAGTACCAGGATACTGTACCAAGGGGGCATGCAGCCTCCGCTCTTGCCTTGTCCCATGTCATCCGCATCCAGCACTGTGAAGTACAACCTTGGAAAATGTAAAGTTGGACGTTACCTGTACGCCGGGTATGTCCAACCTCTTGACATTGGGACACAAAATTGTCACCTACAAAGACCACACATCAGAAATACACCATCTAATCACACACAAATCTCCTAATGTTTTAAAGAAGTTTATGCTTCTGTGTTGGACAACATTCATGGGTATTCTTGGCTGCATGTAGCCCACAGGTCAAAGGTTAGACATACTGAAGCCCCAAACCCTCTCTTTAAATTGGTTTCCCATGCATGTCACCCCTAATTATGGGACCTGTGTGATATGACTGTGCCTGTCTTACCTGCACCCACTCTTCCTGTTTACCAAACCCAGGCACACCCTCCTGGTTCCTTGCTGGTCCTTCAGCGGCAGCCCTTCATGTCACTGGCTTCTTGGTGCAGGTTTCTGCCCAAAGGTCACCTCTTAGGAGAGCCTTATCTAAGAATGTTAGTCCCAACCACTATTTTATTTCTTTCATACACTTATCACTAAAACTAGACTGCTGACAGGGAGCTCTCATGATCACTTTTGTAGTTTTATTAATTTTGATTATTGAATGAATGCTAAGTGCTTTCCTTAGGCCTGACAGATAAAAGGAAAGTACCCTCTTACCACCACCCCATTCTAAAGCCCTCCCTGGATTGAAAACTCTGTCCTATTTGCTACTGACCTGTAAATTCTGGCACAATAAACAGTTATTGAATAAACAGTAAGCAGAATTCTGGCCCTGCTCTTTATTAGCGTCCCTTGGAGGAAAGCTGGAGAAAGGGAGGTTAGGGGCCAAGGTCAAGAGCAGGCTATGGATTTGGGCTAGCAAGTTAGTTTCTCTTAGGCATTCATTTCAGAAAAGGCAACAGAGGCTCTAACTCATAAACCTGCAAGTGCCAAGTAGCATCAGGCACACCATCCACCCCCTCATAGGGTTTATAGAAGGGATGCATGCCCTTGACATTTTTCATGTTGACTCCATCATCTACCAATCTGTTCAGTGTCCCTCAGTGTTTAGAGCCTTGCTTTCCAAAACTGGATGAGGAAGAACTCCATCGGGGGTGAGGGCTACCTGGAACCATCTGGTGCATCCTTCTGGGCTGTTTGTTTTACTGGGAAGTAATCGAAAACATTTTTTTGTTATAGTAACATAACCACAGATACTTATAGAGTAGGATGAATAATTCGCACGAATGCTTTGAGAATTAGCACTGGGCACTGCATTGGTAGCTTCCAGCTTGGAGGAAGCCTATGTGGAGAGTACAAGACCAGATTTCTCCATTGGTTAGGGGCCTTTTGGGCTCACAAAGTGAGCTTCCTACTTTCAATAGAGGATTTTGTTGTGCTCCTTTCACTATCCCCCACTCCTGTAGAAGGAACAGGTGGTTTCCTGTTCTGCCCTGCTTGGGGCAAGGGGGTGATCCCAGGGGCAAAGAAAGGGCAGGTGGAAGTTCCAGACCTTAATTCATTTTCTCCTAGCTCTTATCATTGCTCAGACACGGACCACCCTGCCTGCCCATTAGCCTCTACTCACCCCTCCCCAATCTGGACATAATGATAGTCATTATCCTAGGATATTATTACCAACGCTATAAACAGCACACTCTATGTAAACAGCATAGGTAACTGTTTCTGAACATAATTACACGTGTTTCCAGAGCCTCAATTCCATCAGAGTAAATGATAGCTTCCTTTCCTATCATTAATACTCCGATATTAGGGACCTATCAGGGCCAATTAGTCAAACTCTAGCAGTGAGGTGGTGAGAAGGACCTCACATTCTTCCAGAGCCTGTAAAGCAAGAAGGAACCTCTCAAGATCCCTGCTAGGAGAAAACGGATTAAAACCCAGAACCCTTCCCATCCCTCCTTAGCCTATGGGTTCCACCCTCCCAGCTCTCACCTGCGGCTTCATAACTTGAGGAAAGTCAAGATTTCCAAAGATACCAAGAAAGCTGCAGATGGTAGTCTCTGCTGGACACTATTGTATTCAGGGACACAAGGACAGTGAGTCCCTTTGACCCATGGACAGGTCACCTGCTGGTTTTAGGACCCAGCCAGTGCGCACGGAATGGGCTCCGAGATGGCTGGTGTTCAGTCACCATTGCAGGCAACTAAGCTAGGCCTGGGTGCTATAAACGATGAGCCACCAACGGGTCGGCTCTCTGTCCCTTCCTTATCTCTAGTTCTCACTGCTTCCTCTTTAGGCCTTCCCCTCCCGCACCCTTTCCACTCTCATCTGCTCTCCAGAGTTGCAGTCCGCTGCCCGCACCCACCCCTTCTTCCTGTCCCCGCTGTGCAGTTGGGTGGTATCTCTCCAGAAGGGCGGGGGCGGGGAGGGTGGAGCAAAGGGCGAAGGCCTGGTTAGGCTTCTGGAATCTCTCGCTGTCCTCACTCAGGGGCGCCGCTGTGGCTGGGCCTGGAAGTCTGCGGATTTTCCGCTTTCATCTACCCGCGGACACAAAGGCCAGCCCTGGCCTGCGCGGGAGACGCGCTCGCACCCACGGCTGTGCGCACACACGCACAACTGCACAAAGACGTGAACACCTCTGCATACACACACACACACACACACACACACACACACACACAGACACTTTCCCGACAGGCTCGCGCGCACAGCCGTGCACACTCACTCGCATTGGCACGCGCCTGCGTGCACGCGCTCGCGTGGATCAGACGTGGTCGGCTGCCCAGCCTTTACTCTCTGGGCGCGCACACGCAGAGCCGCGCACGGAGTCACACACGCGCGCTCACACCCGCACGCTCCACGCCCCTGGCGGCGGCCCGGGCGTTGTGCTGCTCGAGCGACGGGCGGGGACCCGGGCGGGGGCGGCGGCGGCGACAGCGGAGGAGGCGGAGCGGGGTAGCCGGGAGCGGGCTGGCCCGCGCTCCTCCTGGCGGCCGGGGATTTTCCAGCCTGGGCGCTGACGCCGCGGACCTCCCTGCGGCCGCCGCGGACCATGGGCGACAAAGGGACACGGTGAGTGCGGGTGGCCGTCCTGCATCGCGCGCGCGTGGGGACGACCTGGGAGAGGGCACGGGCGGAGGTTCCAATCAGCGTCACCCGGGATCTGGCACTCTGTTCTCCGCTCAAGTCTCTTGTGTGGTCGCTGGCCAGTACCATGTGTAAGGACCGAGGCAGCCAGGGTGGGCCACCCCATCAGGCTCACGGTCCCTGGCTGAGACGAGCTCACACACCCTGCACTGATCGGCAGATTCGAGGACGCTCCGGGGCAGGCTGACACACCATACAGACACACACAACAGACACACAGACATAGACACACACACACACACACAGACACACACGCGTATACACACACACACACACACGCTCATGAACACAGGAGCACCCTCCTGCTGGCACATACTGACAGCCGCTGCCACACTTTTGCATTTATGACACGACAACGTCACACACGTTTTCTCTCGAGCACACACTCGTCTGTCAACACATTCTTGCTGACAGTGCTGTTAGCATACACAGGTCCTGTTAGCATACACACACACCAGCTCTAACACACCCTCCTGTTGCCACATGCATGTGGTCATACACCAACACACATACCCTGTTACTTGAATGCTGCAAAGCACACTCTGGCTGGTGCACACAGTCTGTTAACCCTCTCTGACATGACACCACCAACATGACTGATGCGGCCACATGTCTTAGTGACACACCAATGCTAACCACACTGCAGGGCAGAAAATGCCCATAGGGCCTGACATCCCGTGGCATGGGGTGGGGTGGGGGTGGATACACTCACTCCTGACTCCCCATGGCAGGACTGGAAACACAGGTCACAGAGTGGAGGACTCTGTCTGGGGCCTGGAAAAGCAGGTCCCATTCACATGGCTTCCTTCCCCTCTGACCTCCAAAGCACACAGCTGGGAGCTACATCCAGCTGAGGGAGGTGAGGGGAACTTTTTTTTTTTTTTTTTTTTTTTTTTTTTTTTTTTTGTAGAGCCTTCCTTGAAAGGAGAGGTTAGGCCCTCAAAATGGAAACTAGGGCAAAGTGGGAGAGCTAGGGGAGAGGCAGGGAAGCTCTTGGGGTCAGCCTTATGACCTAAACCTGCCCTGGTCAACCTTCTACCAATTCACCTCCCTGGCCCCTGAAAGCCTCATCATGTGGTCCTCCATGGCTAATCCTCTAGGCTTCCTGCACCTGCTGTTCTTCATTGCTCTCCTTATCTTTGTGTCCTTCCCTCTGCCTTTACATCCTTTCTTCCAGGATTTATTTATTTATTAAGCCCCTGTTGTATACTAGAAATAGCATAGGGGATCAGAGATGATTAGAGAGGAAATATCCCTGGGGCCACATGTTGGGATCTTTAAACAACTTGATCCCCCCAGCTGAGACTCTTCACAGTGTGTGAAAGTGATTCTAGAGGTTATTCCCATTTCCCAGGAGTAGAAACTGAGGCACTGAGGTAACTCAGACAGACCCTTCATGGTTTGAAACTGCTTTCCACCAGCCTCCCTACTGCTGGTTCTTCCAGGAGGTTAATTTCCTTTTCTGGTTTCTCCAAAGAGCAACCAAAGGATGAGAAAGGTCATTTTCCTTGCTTAAGGTCAGGAGTGGGCAGAGGCCAGAATCCACTGTGCCTGTGTCTGTCCTTGGGGCCACTAGGTGTTGTGTGGACCCCAGGTGCCTGCATTGTGCAGAGGCACAGCTGTGGGAGACTAAAGAGGGTTATGAGGTGTTTGCATTCATCTTGAGGCCTAGTCCCTAGCAGCTGGCCGGCCAGCACTGTGGCCCAGCTGGAGGAAGGATGCCAGACTGTTTTCAGCCACATCCATCTCCCCATGGAGACCCTCCTGACCTGCGAGGTCAGGTTTTGCTGCAGCAAGGGATAGTGGGGAGCCAGCAGCCATCCTTTCTTCTTTGTTCTGCTGTGCTGCTGGTGATCAGGGTGACTCAGCCCTGCCGGGCCTCTCTGTAACTAGGGGAGAAGTGTTAGACGCCTCCCTGACATCGAGAATTGCCACAGGATGAGGACACCTGTTGGAAAACCTATCTGAGACCAGAGCCTTGTTTTTGACTCCCCCTGCTCTGCTTCTAACTCAAGGACTGACTTAGTATTCCCATCTGTAAACAAGAGCAATCAGAACTTTGGTTTTCATGGTTTCCATGAGTTTACTGAGTTTACTGGACATAGGAGCAGGAATTGCCTAGGCCTGGAAATATGGTCTGGCTAGATAAACTCCACCTGTCCCTGCCTGTCCTCCTTATCCTGCCCCTCCAGGATCCTCTAGAACTCCAAATTCTGACATTCCCTTTCTAGATCTATCTGGATAAGAAAGGCAAAATCACAAAGAGACTTTGACTATTGTGTTCCATTAGTCATGAGATTTTACTTTGTGAATTGGAAAGGACTTTGTAAATACCCAACACTCAGGCTCTGGAATCTGCACACCTATCCATCTGTCTCAAATTTCACCCTATGGAGGAAGTGATAATAATCATTAATCAAAGCTGTCATTGCCCTCTGGGAACTCCATGGGTTGAGAGAGAGGAGTTACAGGGCAGGATCATGATAGCGTTAAGATGGGGCCTTAACAGGGGTACTAGGAGCAGGTTCATTAAGCAAGTAGTTTCTTTGTACCCTGGGGCTGGAGTTTCTAAAGATGAATGCCCAGAAGATTCGTCCCCAGGTGTTTGTGATGCAGGACACTGGACACAGCACTGTGGGAGGCAGAAGAGGAGTCGATGCCAGAGCTCTGGGCTGGATGTGGCCTGAAGCTGTCCAGGGTAGTCAGAGCTGCAGAGATTTATCTGTAAGCCTAAGGAGGCTGAGAAATGGACCTGGATGACCCTGCCAGGCCTGGAGATGTGAAAGGAGGCCTGCGGTCTGGGGGTAGAGCTCAGGAGGCCAACACTGGCCTGTCATCCCCAGCCTGGGAGTGTTAGGCTAAGGAGACAGGATTTTTCCCCCAACACCAGGGTCAGCTGAAAGGAGATGGTGGGGCAATGGAGGGGTGGGAGTGAATCTTCCTTTTCGGTCTGAAGGCAGAAAGGCTCTAGAAACAAGGCTCAGAACTAAGGCTGCAGGCAGGGTAGATGAGGAAGTTGGGGCCCAGCAAGCCAGATGGTTGATTGGACCTTTGCTCCCTGTCTGGTGTTAGAATTATGTTCATGGGGGCTGGGAGGATGGCTCCAGAAAAGTGCTTGCTGCTTAAGCATGAAGTCCTGAGTTTGGGTCTCCAGAACCCACATAAAGGCTGGGCACGGCAATCCCTAACCCCTGGTACTAGGGGTTGGGGTTAGGCATGTGGGGACAGGCATGTTGTTGGAGTTCTCGGGCCAGCCAGCCAAGCGCTCAGGTTTAGCGAGAGACTTTGTCTCAAAACAGGGTGGAGAGTGTCAGAGGAATATTCTAGATATTAACTTCTGACCTTTACATACGTGCACATACATGTACATGCCCATCAGCACACATACAAGAAGTACTACATAATCTCACTGCATTCCTCCCACAGTTTATTAGCATGGGAATTGCTGTTCCCATTTTAAAGATATGGAAATAAACTAGGAAAGAGAAAGCGTGTCCACCAGCATTCAGCCAGCTAGCATCTGCACAGAGGTCTCTCTGCCCAGCAGGTCCTCTCTGCTACTGTATACTCAGAGGGAAAGGGGCTTGTCCTATCCACAGCTGGCTTTTCAGCTGGTCCTACTGACTCTAAAAGTGACCCGAGGGATCATCTTGAGGCAACAGATGTTGATAAACTTCCCCACTACCCCTCACCCCTTAGCCCCCTTGCTACATTCAGCCACAAGGAGGGAGGGTGGCTGTAGTGGGGACTTGCAATCACCAGCTCTCTGTGAACCTTGGCTGTCTTTCTTGAGGTGGTTAAGCCCTGGGTGACCCTTCTTGGCTAGAACATAGGGAAGTCCTGTGGCTTTGGCAGGAGTGTTCTTGGGTTGCTGCTGGGCGTGGCGGTGAGCCTGGCCCAGTATCCCTGATTCCCAGCTGTCTTCTGGGTTACAGACTCCTTTGATGGCTCGTTTCCTTTCAAGTCTGGACCTCCTGGCTCGAAACCGAAACCTCTAGCTGGCATGGGGTCAGGGGTCCTTAGCTGTGGGCTTGCCTCCTCCAGGGCCTGTCACCCTGCTGTGTTGGTTGAAGACAACAACAGGGAGCCTCAGAGTGGCCTCTTGGCCTCCACCAGGCTATCCTTTCTACTCTTGTTGGGGTGACATGCTGACTGTCTAGCTAAGACCCGCGTGCGGTAGCAGGGGAGCCAGAAGTGGGCTGAGGAAGAAGAGGGAGGCTTTGACAGATTCCTCTGGACCTCAGCCTAGGGACAAAGGGGCAGGTGGGGACTTGAAAGTCTTCTGAGTAGACACTGATAGTTCCCATGGAAGGATATAGATGACCTTGGTGTGGGGAGAAGGGTGGATGTGATGAGAAGATGACAGGAACAGCAGAGCCTTGGAGAGCATTGGTGTGTGGGGTGGAGAAAGCGGCAGACAGCGGAGAACAGCTGGGCCTTGGAGTCCTAGAAACAGGGAAGAGCTACAGAGGCTAGAGGAGGAGGAGGGGTTGCAGCAAGATCGCCACATGGAGCCAGGTGGTGGATGGGAGTCTGGGGGTTTGGTGGAGTGGCGAGGGGTGCAGTTGAGCACAGTAGGCAGAGGAGAAAGGGGTAGGCCTCTGTTTTTCTATGTGCTTTCTGGACCGCTCCTCTGCAAAATGGTCACAAAGCACTTGAAATCAGTGCAGGCTTCCTGGAGGGATCCAGGTCTTGTAGGATGGAAAAAACATACTGTGGTGCGTGAGCTGGCCAGGGCAGGTGTGCTGCTGGAGCGAGGGTCCTCTGACTCCAGAGGAGGTCTGGAAGGGCTTCCTGGGTCATGTGACCCTAAGCTGGTTGCTGGATTTCAAGGAAGGCCTAGGTGGCAGGAGGGTGCACTAGGCAGAAAGAAGAGCCCATGCCAAGGTATTGACACCAGCCCAGGTGGACAGCTGTGGGAGCAA